AATGCTCATCATATATTTATAAAAATAGGTTTAAAATAATTACATAACAATTCACTGTTAAATACAATAGTGCATAGTTTAACAAATATGTGTTCAATTAACTAATTTTAGTTAGAAAAGGGATTATAGGCTGGGAACAATGATTCATACCTATAAATGCATTGACTTTAGAGGCTGAGGCAAGAGGATCATAAGTTCTAAGCCAAACTCACTCGGCAACTTGGCAAGAACCTCAGAAATATAGCAAGACCCTGTCCCAAATTTAAAAATAAAATTGAAAGGGCTAGATGCAGCTCAGTGGTAAAGTGACCCTGGGTTCAATCCCCAGTACTACTCCCCACACATGGAAAAAAAAAAAGAAAGAGATTATACACATTTTCTAAATGTAATGTATAGAAAAGCAGACAAGAAAGTTATATAACACCATGTTAACAAGTGCTATTTCTGGCATTAAGATTGTAAGTATTTTTTATGTGTTTGCTTTCCTGTATTTGCCAGTGTTGTATAACCATATGATAACTTTACAATCAGGAACAATGTTTTTATAAATAAACTAGTAAACTATCCAAGTTACTAAGGGTCCCAACATCCTTAATTATAACAATGACTTCAGATTGTGGCAATTATATAAATAGATGATGCCCAAATTAAGATGGTTTGACTTGTCATTTTTCTACTTTACAATGGTATGAAAATGATACATATTTAGCAGAAAGCAGGCTTTGAATTTTGATCTTTTTCCAGACTAACTATGCATTAATACTCTCTTGCAATGCTGAGCAGCAGCAGCAAGTCAAATCTCCCAGTGAGACATGTGGTCACCTTGTGAGACCCAAGATACTCAGCAATGCACTGTGTTGCAAATCTATGATGTTCTGTAGATTAGATATATCAGATGCATTTTAATTTACTATATTAATTTATTATTTATCCAATGTAAGTCAAGGAACGTCTGTATCAGTTTAACTGGAAATGGAAAGGGGAAGAGGATATACCTAGGTTCTTTGAAGGTCTTAGTTGATCAAGTTACCACCAAGAGATCTCCCTTGCTCACTACCTCTAGGGAAGAAAATAAAGGAGCAGAAGGTAAATTTTACTTAAGTAAGTACTGATTTCAGACTGGGGGACAGGTGTATGGAGAAAAGGAACCTTCTCTATCCAATGACTATTCCATTCCAGAGTCTACTGTCAAGGCTTCAGGTAGAGTGTGACCAAAATTCAACTTGATGAGGGTTTAATGCAGACAGTAAGACATGATATTATTTAACTGCAGCAGTTTCAACCTCTTTGTAGCTGCAAAGCACCTAAGACATGCTTTATTCCTATGGTGCTTTATAATACAGATATTTTACTCTGATTTCCAATTTCATCATTCTAGAATTGTTCATTCAATCATAGTTAAGTGGGCCAAGGTCATTAAAGCAGCTATATTAGATGCCATGAGAGACTCAAGAATATACACATTTGCAATGTTTTCTAAGTGATGGAGAAATTAAGTATATCTTATAATGTGTCTATTTGTTCTATAACATTCTCACAAAAAAATCTGATTCCCACACTTCAGATATCACAATTAAAATTTTTATTTTTTTAAAAAAAACTTCTTAATCTCTTTAAAAAAGTGAAAAAGGTAATATAACTGCTAATGATGAAGAGAACATGCCACCTTATGTTGGGGTTTGTACAAAGAAACACAACAAATACATGACGTTTTTAAGGTGAGAGTTAAGAGCAAAGAATTTGAAAGCACATAGTGTAAGCATACTGCTGTATATTTTTAAGCATTAAGATTATGTAACAAACAAAAAGTTTTAAACCTACATAAAAATGCAAAAGGCACCCTTAAGTACATCATTTCAGAACTTTCCAATTAAAAAGTGGTATTTGTTTTTAAAAAGCAATAAATAATCATTAAAAGAAAACAATTTTTGCATTCCTTTAAACAGGCATTAAATTAACATGGGAAAATATGAGAATATCACTGTATTCTCTTTCAGCTCAAAGCTGACAAAACTTACAGATAAAACAGCCTACTACCAACCCTCTTGGTATTTAAAAGATGTTTCTTAGTATGAATCATCAGCCAGACACATAGCTAGCTGACTTTAGAAAACTGTATAGTCAAACTGCTGCCTAGAGTTCCCCCTGCAGTTCATGAAATTCAATGCACAAATAAACACAGGGTGATTGAGATCTAATTTTAATCTATCAGTAATCAGTAGTAACTTGTTAAATTTTGTTACGAGTTTTTCATCACACACTAAATTCAATTTTAATTCTTGAATAGTTTATTACATTAAGCTAAAATGACAACCTGTAGTCATATATGAAATGCAGTCATATAGCCTCAGTCAGGAGAAACAGGTATTCTGAAGGAACTGAGCAGTTCTGAGAGATACGGCCCCATATAGTAAGCAGAGAGGGATAATGTGGACCTAAATGCATTTATTTAGTTACAGACACTTTAGTTAATACTCAGGGTACAACAAGCAGTGTTCCCTAACTGCAGGAAAGCAAAAAGAATGGACTGGGACTGGGGTTGTGACTCAGTGGAAGAGCACTTGCCTAGCATATGCAAGGCCCTGGGTTCGATTCTCAGCACCACATACAAATAAATAAAATAAAGGTATTGTGTCCAACTACAACTAAAAAATAAATATTAAAAAAAAGGACTGCCTCCAACTTGAGTCCTTGCATCCTACTTTTCTTAGAAAAGGAATATATGTGCTGATGAAAGAGAAAATCCAGGCAGGGGCTTCAAAAGACCTCTTGTGAGATACTGGGAAGATGGCAGAATAGAGGGGTCGCTTCCTTGGTGGATTCATGGTGTGAACCAAGAAAAGCAGATAGGCAGCTTTTCAACAAGATGGGTGAATGATCCGGAGTTAGGGGGGACTTTACTGGAATTTAATATTGGACACTCAGAACAGATCAGGGTCCCGGGATATCTTTTATTATATAAAACAAGCAGAAAAGATCCCTAGCCCCACAGCTTCGAAAGCAGCTGGAGCTGCAAACCAGAATACTCCCTACATGCATGTAATAAAGCAATAAAAAAAATTAAAGAAACCCCTATTCTCAGGAAGATTGAGGTGTGTCAGGGTACAGAGAGCTTAGAGATCAGAGATGTTGCTTAAAAAAAAAAAAGTAAGCTGTGCTGCACAGTACCCATGTACAGGAAGGAAGCTGGCAGAGTGCACAGAGGATAGCAGAAGGAACCATTTTGCAGCTACAGCATGGAAGTCAGCATCTGGGTGAGCCAATTGCTGGCAGACCTGAGTCTGGCCCCCAAAAAATGAGCCAGGCAAACCAACGCTGTGTGACAGAGGGCATACCTAAGTGGTTAGGTGAAGGTCAACCATGGAGAGAGGGTTACATATAGGAATACCTGGCTTCCCCCTCCCCCTCCAACCCAGCTGCTTGCAGGACCAGCTGGGAGAGAAGCACCTGATCAGGAATTTGAAAGGGTGGCGGAGAGAAAGATCAATTTCAGAGACTGAATTACAGACCATAAATAGTGGGGTCTGCAAGCAAAACAGTGGGCTAAGAACAGACTCCTAAACCACATAAGGAGAACCCAAAGGAGTTTCCTGGGGTTCGATCTTCCATCATGGACAAACAATTGCTCGGCCTTGGAGGTGCACTGACTTAAAATCTCCAGACCAATAGACTCCCAACAAAGAGACCAGAGCATTCCAAAGCTTAAATCCCACCTTCAGGAGTTCTGCCTCCAGGACTAACCCTCTCACCCTAGCAAACACAACTACCCTAAGGGTGGAGCTAGCATCAACTCCAACAACACCACCTAACTGCTGAGAAGGGAAGCTGAGAAACATCTGAACTCCAACAAAACAATTGTTCAATTTTAATCGAGGTGTGGGAGGGAAAAGGGAGGAGGCAGGGGATTAGCAAGAATGGTGGAATGTGATACACATCATTATCCAAAGTACATGTATGAAGACACGAATTGGTGTCAACATACTTTATATACAACCAGAGATATGAAAATTGTGCTGTATATGTATAGTAAGAATTGTTAATTCATTCTGCTGTCATTTATTTTTAAAAAATCAATTAAAAAGGGGAAAAATGGAAAGATGTCACAAAGTATTATAAACTGAAAAGAAAATTATAAAATAGTATTCTAGAATGATTCTATGTTCACATATATGCATATCTATGTGTAAATAAAAAGATATCTGTAAGGACACACACCAGAATATTAAGTGATTATCATTGGGTGGTGAAATATTTTTGTTAGTATATCTTTATTTTCCAATTTTTCCTCAAATGGTCTATGCTATTTGTGTGTGTGTGAGTCTCTAAGACAATTATGACAAAAATTTTCTTATATCCATAAGCACTAAAAATATATCAAAATGTTAATGATAGTAGCTGTCTTTGTGAGGTGTCACTGGGGGATCAGTTTTCTTCATTTTACTTATGTGTCTTCCAAACTTTCTATAATGAATATATATTGAATTTTGTTAAGTTTTAAAAGGTTGAAGAATGGCAGGGATCAGCTTTCACTTTTTAATTTATTCATTTCTGTATTATTTGAATATGGGGTGGCAAGCATGTATTATTTTGCAATGAAAACTAATATCAAAATGTATTTTGGAAAAATTCTTTTTCAAATAAAAGGTAAATCATCCACATTGAGAGACAGAGAGAGAGCGAGCTCTTGCTTTCATGGGACAGAAAGATCAAAGTCTAACTTTATCTGAAATCCAGCAATAGTGAGAGCAAAAAAAGGAGCACCTGCTTTCCATGTAAATTCCATCCCATTGGTCCTAATCAAGGTCCAGGAAGTCCCCTAGAATGAAAAGGAGCCCTGCACCTAATTCAGGCCACGGCTTAACTTGAGTATAGGTCATTCAGGATAAGGCCAAGGTAAGGAAAAGCTTCTGGACTCATAGCTGCTTTGGGGGGAGTTTATCCTGGTAAACAAGTATAAATCAATCAATATTTTTTTCAAGATGGCTTCCACAGTCTCCCAATACCTTTACTGATACTGTTTAATTCTTGATATGACATAGAAATATAAATTCAAATACATTTGATTAAGATAGTTGAAGAAGATACAGAAACATGCACACAGAGACATTTAATTTATTATCAGATAATGATGGAACTTTTAAAATAATTTTTGTATGGTACTGAGGATTGAACCCAAAGACAATCTACCACTAAGTTACATCCTTACCTTATTTTTAGTTTATTTTTAATATTTTTATTTTGAAACAGGTTCTTGATAAGTTGCCAAGGCTAACCTCAAACTTGTGATCCTCCTTCCCCAGCCTCACTTAGTCACTAGGATTTCAGGCACGTGCTACCATACCCAGCATAATGATAGAACTTTAAATCAGTATTAAGCAAATGAATTGTTCAACTTCACTGAGGTATAAATGAAGTATACTAAAGCAAACATATTTAAAACATATAATTTGAGGTCTGGGGATATAGCTCAGTTGGTAGAGTGGTTGCCTCACCTGCATAAGGCCCTGGGTTCAATACCCAGCACCACAAAATAATAAAATTTTTAAAACCATCTAATTTGATGTTTTGACATATGTATACAATCACAAAACCATCACCACAATCAAAACAATGAATATATACATCGCTCCCAAAAGTGTCCCTGTACTTCTATGTAGTCCCTCCAAAGTATCCTTTCCCATCCAAACACCCTGATCCCCTAACAATGATCTGCTTTCTGTCATTACAGATGGATGAGAATTTTCTATGAAATTTACATTTCATATAAATGTAATTATATAGATTGTACTCTGCCTCCTTTCACATTTCATACTCTGGCTCCTGCATAATTTGAGATTCACCCATGCAGTTACATTTATCAAAATGCATTAACTAAGAGAAACCTTTATGCTGATTTTTACCAAAAAGATACAAGTCAAAAGCTTTTAAATAAGCCTTTACAACAACTGTGTGAACAATCAGATATGAAAAAATTGTGCTTTATATGTGTAATATGAATTGTAATGCATTGTGTTGTCATATATAACAAATTAAAATTTTTAAAAAATGGTTTTGTGAAACTGACATTTAGAGAACAGTACAATAATGCAATATTCAACCTTTATATTTTCTAGAATAAACTTCTAATTTATAAAGAATGCCAATGGATTAAAAATGACAGTATAACCTATGGAATGTTAAAATAATCCAGATGAGATGTTTAAAATATTACTAATATTCATTTGCTCTGCACAATGGTGAGAGATTGAGAAACTACAGTTTATCCAGCAACAGAATTTCATCATACAACCATTAAAAACCACATTAACAGGTGAATACTTACTTGATCCTTTAATACTGAAAATTATGTAATATGTTTAGGATTTATTAGGACAAGAAAAATTATAATAGTCCAATATCAACTTAAATATATACACTACATACCTACTCATATTACATCTAAGTACAGATAAGTTCTGCAAAGAAAAACAATAGGAAGAGCCACCAAACTATTATCTCTGGAGGTTTTTTCCTTCTTTTTTGTGATTTATTTTCCTATTAACATGGATTTTCCTTTCACTTCTGACAAAAAAAAAAATGTTACTTTTAAAATGATCAAGTGTTGTATTATATTTCTGTTCATCCTACATTCTCCTTGGGCATTTGCAACTATTGTTTCTATACAATTTATCTCAACCCAAGTGAAATCCCCATGACCTGCTTATGCCAAAAAACTTTTACCTTCTCTGCCCATCTCCCTCAAGTTCCATATAAATTTGTTAAGATTCCCAAGAGAGATACCTTGGGAAATTCTTCCATACAACTCCAAAGACAACGATTTAATACTTTGTGTTTCAAGCCATAACAATAAATTTAATTCCCAGCAATACTATTGTATCCATATAATAGAACACTATTTGGCAATAAAAAGGAATGCTGACATGAGCTACATGAATGAAACTTAAAAAGATTAAGTGAAAGTGGTCACAAATTATGTATGTATGATTCCATTTATATATAATGTCCAGAAAAGCAAACTTATAAAGACAGCAAGATTTAGGTTTTGCTTAGTGCTATGAGGCTGGAAGGGAGAAAACAAGATTGGCTGCCCATGGGTACCAGTTTCTTTTAGAGGATACAAATTCTAAAAATTATACTGTAGTGATGATCGTATACACTATCTTAAATTGTATAACTTAAATGAATATTTTTAAAACCTTGAATTATATAAATTAATAAATTACATGGTATATGAATTAGATATCAATAAAGCTTTTTTAAAAAAAATACTACTGTAACTTATTTTTCTTATCCTTGACTGAACAGGTATTATGTACAAGAAATCTTACAGACCTTATATAATTTGATTTTTACCAACTCTGCAAGGTTTTTAATTTTATAAGAAAACAAGTTTAGTGAATTATTTACACAAAGTTAAAGACATATCACTCTGAAGAAATGTCTCTACAAAGATCATAGTTTCTAAATTATGCCAAACTTGCTACCAAATACCTTACTGGAGATCATTACAATACGCTTTGGGAAAGCAGGCACTTTGTTTCTACCAATGGTACAAATTAGTGGGGTGGTTTCTTGTTGTTGTTTTGAGGCATTAATGATAGCAAATACCATGAAGTTATGTGACTCAATTCAAAACCCATATTTAGAAACCAAATTACTTTGGAAAATAATCTAAAGTAATTAAAGTCATAAAACTTGTTCCTGGGGCTGGGGATGTGGCTCAAGCCGTAGCGCGCTCGCCTGGCATGCGTGCGGCCCGGGTTCGATCCTCAGCACCACATACAAACAACAATGTTGTGTCCGCCGAGAAATGGAAAATAAATATTAAAAAAAATTTAAAAAATAAAAATAAAACTTGTTCCTCCTCAGTTGCTATTAGAGCTAGATTATTAATATGTTCAAAATATAGTCATGATCTAATTTGTCATTTTTAAGTCAATGCCTCCAGAAATTCCTGTTTATTTATATTAAATGAAATGCCAACAAAATATAAATATACATGGCCACCATTTCTTTAAACTACTTTCAATAGGCAAAAATATTCCTTTATTTAGATATTTACACTTAGCTTTTTATCAACACATTTAGATGTCATAAACACTAACATTAGAAATTCCAGAAAAGTAAATTTTAATATAATTTACTTATAAGAGGAAGAAATAAAGAAATAATAAAAAGACCACATTTTGTGACATCCTCCTTTAAATACAACTAATCAGTTATTAACCTATTTGCTGCTGTAACAAGTTATCAAAAATTCACTGGTTTAAAACAATTTATTCTGATGGTTCTGCACATCAGAAGTTTGATACTACTCTCCCTGGGCTAATATCAAGGTGCCAGCAGCCCTGCACTTCTTTCTAGGGGCCCCAGGGCAGAACCGGTTTCCTTGCCTTTTCCATTTTTTATAGGCCACCTGCATTCCTTGCCTCAGGGCTTCTTCCTCCTTCAAAGTCAGCAAAAGTGGTCAAGTGTTTCTACATTCCACCATTTTGACCTCCTATTTGCCTCTCTTTTCCACTTTTTGGGATCCTGTGATTCCACTGAGCCCATCCCAATTAATCAAGATAACCTCCCCATCTCAAGACCCTTAACTTAATCATATTTTAACTTAATCACATCTATAAAACCCATTGCACTATAACATACTCATGGTTTCTGGGGACCTTTAGGTGGCCATTATTCTTCTATCTACCATAGTTGCCCTTGTCAGGGCAAACTCATGGTAAATCCTAGGTTGGGAGACACACTAATGGTTTGAACAGAAAATATGGAATTTGGAACCGAGAAAAATCCTTCCTTTCTATTCTGTCAGACTTTTACTGATGGATCATAACTGATTGCACTGGAATAACAGAAGAAATAGCTTGCCATTCAAAACCATGAGGGAAGAGAACTATTTGAATGAATGTCAATTTTTTTTTCTATGCTGGGGATCAGTGTTGGACATGACCTTATGAATTCTAGGCAAGCACTCTACCACTGAGCTATATCTCCAGCCCAAATCTGTTGATTTTTCAGTCCAAACAGAAACCACAAAAGCTTATTTTCTGAATTTGTTTTACATGGCATTCAGGAACTACCACTACTATATAGCAGCCATTAATTCAAAATACAGTAGTAGTTAGGAAGACTACACTTAAGCATGCCAATATTGAGTTCTTATGAACTTTTAAAATAAAATACCCAAAGGATTATTACATGTTTGTGGTGAAGAAATCAAAACTGTCCTTTCTGAAAGGCCCAAATTCAAAATTAAATTATATAAATACATTATAAGAATTTTTTAACAAATATTTTTTCAGTTGTAGATGGACACAATACCTTTATTTTATTTATTTATTTTATGTGGTATGAGGATCGAACACAGTGATTCACACATGCTAGGCAAGTACTCTACCACTGAGCCACGACCCCAGCCCCAAGACTTTTTTTTTTTTTAACTCCCCAGGCATTGTTCTAGCCGTTTAATTTTTTCCAGTTTAGCTTCAAATCTTTTTTGACTCCAAGATAGAAGAGCAATGTTAGAGACACTCAAGTTATAGCCAGCATGTACCAATTCTTTGATTCGACTTTTTAAAGTACTTATGCTTGAATCCAGAACCCGAGGACTTTCAATTATTTGTAAAATACTAATTTTTTCTTCTATGAGGCAGTCTATTTTATCATTAAACTTTTTATCTGCCAAGAACATCATATCCGGATAGCTTAAGACAAATTTCTGTACCTCTTCTTCAGTACGTCCAAGAGAAAACAGCTTCTCTTTGATATTTGTATAATTTCTTTTGGCACATTCTGTAGAAAGGTCTAGAATTCCAGCTCCTGGACCACATAGCAGTTGCAGCAGTTCTTCCTTGTTCAAGTTGAAAGTTGACTGTAAAAATTCAATGTTAGCTTTCACCCGTTTGGTGCTCTGAATTAAGATGAAAGGATTTTTAGAAATTATCTTCCTGACAAAATCTGTGGGATCATTGTGACCTAAGAACAAACAGACTTCCTGCAAAACTTCAATCATCTGTTTATTCAAATCAAGACTATTGGAAAAGGTGCGAGGGGCATTGGCTAATAATCGACATAGGCATTTCTGGGACAATCCAACTGAGTAGAGGAACTTTATATTATTTTCTAAATTTATATTATTATTGGACCGAAAAAAGGATTCAGGAGAACGTTCCAAAATATTTACAATTTCAAGGTCTGATGTCATAATCTTTCTCCACAGATCCCAACGTTTTGAAAGACTTTCAGAAGTACGTGTTATAGCTCGTGGATATCTTGATATGATGCTAGCAATCACTTCTTTGCTAGCTCCTTTGGACAAAAGGAACATCTTTAGGTCCTGCTCATTAGTAACCATTCTATTAAAAACTCCAGGCTGTCGTTTCTTTGCCATGTCAATATCAACCCCCATAGTAAGTAAGTTGTTCAATAAGTCCTCATTCTCCAAAGGCTCTTTGTCTCCATTATTACATGTCACACCAAAAAGCCTAAATGAAACTGATTTGAGGATTTCTGCTGAATAGCGAATCATCCAACATCTTGAACCAAAGAAAAGGTTACTTCTCATATACCAGAGGTTTCTTGATGCCATAATGGTCAGGTATCCCAAATCTTTTGGAAAGCTGCATAAAATAACACATATAATATTACACAAATATCTGCATTAAGTAACTAAATGACCATATTATCATCCTACAAGCATCACGGTCCTTTTTATAAGAAAATACCTATACTTTTAGCTCTCCTGGTGCTAATGGTAATAATTCAGCACTCTTCACTCCCTAGCTCACTGCTTCTGTTGGTTATCTGTGAACCCAGGGCTGCTATCATTTTTAACATAAAGAAGAATGTGATGGCACCATCACTGCCCTAGAATTATTCTTGTTTTTTTTTTTTTCTTTCTCTATTTGATCTTACTTGCCTTCTCTTCCCAAAACCAGGAGTCCTTCTCCATCTCTACTTTGTCCTCCTGGTTTCTAAACCTTTGGTTTATTCCTAATAAATGACATTTTCATTTCTGCCTTGTCTTCCAACTTCCCAAGTATTTGATCTTTCCCTGCCCTTAGATACCAGGCTTCTTTGCCTCTGGTCTCCTGTTTTCAACTTCTAAATCCAGCCCTGAAAGCCAATACCTCAGATTATCTGATTTCTAGCTAAATATATTTTACTGGATTTATGCTATCCTTGAAATCCATGCAGGCTTTATAGCTTTAATTCTTACCATATAAAGACCTCTGGTCAACAGCTCCTGATTCTAATATCCATCTCATTCACTTTACCTGATTGTCCCCTTGGTTTCAATGCAAAAAATTTAAAACAATTTTTATGTTCAAAAATATGCAGTTAGGGAACTGGGTGTGTACTTCAGTTATAGAGTACCTGCTTAGCATGTATGAGGCCCTGGGTTTTCAATCTCTAGCACACATTCACATAAATACACACAAAATCTAGCTGTGATAATTAATCCACACACTCCACAATGAGACCTCTCTATATTGCTCAAATTCCCAAGTTCAAGTGATCCTCCTGCCTCAGCTTCCCAAATAGCTGGGACTATAGGCATAAGCCAATGTGCCCAGCTTTATATAAACATTCAAATGTAATTTTTACCATTTTCCTCTACCCATCACCATATTACACAAGACTAACCCAGGACTGTCTACACCTGTTTGACAACACTTTCAGCTTCTATCATGGGATTAAAACCTTTTTTTAATATTTATTTTTTATTTTTTTTTAGTTTTAGGTGGACACTGTATTTTTATTTTATTTTATTTTTTATGTAGTGTGGAGGATAGAACTCAGTGCCTCACACATGCCAGGGAAGCACGCTACCACTTGAGCCACATCCCGAGTCCCATAAAACCTTAATAACTATGAACTTATATATGATTATAATCATAGGTCCCTATTAAATGAGCACCTTCATTCACAGGAAATATTTTATTAGGAAAGCAAGAGAAAATCGTTCTTCTATTTCTTAATCTATCAGAGGATTTGTTCCTATAAACTACTTAAGTTCTGAATCATACAACACATAGATTTGTTCCTAAACTACTTAAGTTCTGAATCATACAACACATAGATTTTTTTTTAAAAAAACTACTTTCTCTTTTTTAGAATATATGACTGCTTGCAAGCAACACTCTATGACAGATTACTGAAACTGATACAATTTGAGCTTGCTATAGCAAGAAAGTGTAACCTATTCCAGTGTTCTCTCTTCCATGAGACAAGCTGTTATATAGGCTTAAGCAGTATTTTTTTAAATAGAATATATGGCTGCAACAAATTTAGTTCTTGATTTCTAATTCCTTACATCGGTATCTTACTTAGAGGAGGCATTCCCTTTGCCCCTTTTCTCAATTATGCATAAAATAGAAAATAAAGATAGATAATTCCAACCCACCACTAAAATTCTTGCTTAACATACTGCTTTTAGGATCAATTTCAATGAAAACCTCTTTGTATGTGTTTTTTAATTACTCCAATTTGAACAAAAACTTAGATTGTGCCTACATGCTAGAAACATTCCTGTGGCTCACATAGTCTACAGATTCTCAAAAGAACTAGGAAAAGATTCTAAAACTACAGACTCGAGTAACATTCAAACTCAAAAGGCAAAGCATTCTCAAAGCAAACATCAAACAATAAAAACAAATCTAAACTCAACTGAGCTTACTATTCTTCAGTTCTCCATAACTCCACATACTATTCTATAACAACATTTCTTCCAAAAATGCATTAATTTAGAAATTCAGAAATAAGATCCTTCTTCTAACTCACGAATAAAGACTACCTTTCACAGCTCAACAGCCTGTTCTCTCTTCCATGCTCAAAGGTGACCTCTACTGGAGAATGGGACAGAACACTGTCAGCTAGATATCAGACCAACATTTCCTCAGAGGGTGCAAGATAATCCAATGGAATGTAGGGGGAAAAAATACTAAAACTCTAATGTATTCGTGTCTTAGCCTTTGAAAATGTACACTTCTACATGTTGTATAATGTATACAACATAATGGTACTATAAGACAGGTATAAATTACTATTTGTGAACTTTTTTATTGATAGTATGTACAAGTTGAAGTACTACTAACATAAACAGAGCTGAACAAGGCACAGAACATTCAGCAGAAATTCTAACAGCAATTCAAAAATAAGAGAAAATAAATGCTGAGTCTTTAAAAAGTAACAAATCTTTCACAAGTAATTTCATCTCTCAGTGAAACTTAGAGAGTCACCCATGATAAAAATCTAAGTGAATTTTGCTTTCTTCCTCTTCCTCAACCATCATCAAATCATGTAGATTCAGCTTCATCTCTGAACTCCAATCTCTCTACTTTTTTCTGTTCTCATGCTCTTAAGTCTTCATATTCTCTTCCACAAGCCATACCAGCTAACTTGCTTCTTACACCAGACACTCAAAATTGCCACAATACTGATATTTGTAAAAGAAAGATCTGATTATGTCCCTCATTCTGTGATTAAAGACCTTTTCAGTTCCCTCTCAGAAAAAAATAGACTCCACCTTCGAAGCCCTCAGCACTTAGTTCAAACTACTTTTCCAGCTATCTCTTCTATTATCTTCAATCAAACTCACTGCCTAGCATCATCACCTCTCAGATCTCAGAACCCATTCTAGTCCCCCTATCTTTGCTTAAGCTGTCCTTTCTTTCAGAAAGGTTCATATTCCTGATATCTACCCATCATAAATAGTTTTCCCTCAAATCTTTAACTTAAAATATTTACTATTGAAATGAATCACTTGATAATAATTTATTATTACAGAACTGAAATATGAACTGGATTACAACACTAATATGAAATAGTGACCTCAAAAATTGAATGAGCAGTTCTCTGCTAAACCGAAAATCAATAGTAATTAACAGTACTGACCATTAGTGAACATATGAGAAAACAGGAAAGTCTCAAATACTATTATTGGGGGATAATTTAGCCCCATCTATCACAATTTTAAATGTTCATCTTTTAACTCAACATTTCCACTTCTTTAGAATTAAACAAAGGGAAAAAAAGGACAAAAATATAACAATATTGTTATAAAAAAGTATGCCCATCCTAACATTTGCTATAGCAAAAAGAACCCCAAATGCCCACCAATAGTAAAACTATTTAACAAATTGTGGTATGCTATGTGATATAATACCATACAGGTGCTAAAAAAAAATCGTAGCATACCTAATGCAATTAAAAATATGCAAGATATTCTCAGTGGTAAACTGCATAAGAATGGATTATACTTTTAAAGGAAAGAAACGGTAATACATACAGCAAAAGGAAAAAGTGAAATTACATTTCTGAAAGATTAATGGGGGCTCTATCATTTCAGAAATATTATGATTTATTTAATGAGTATGTGTTATTTTGCAATCAGACAAAAAATGTAAACAAATTAAACTGGTCTAGGGGTGAATTATGCAATGGAAACTGTGTTACCTTTATTTTTCAATTTATAACACAAAAAATATCAGACTTCAAAAATACCAATAATTTTTACATTAGCAGCTCTTCTCCAGTCAAGTACTCATATAATATCTAGCAAGGTGAATAAACAGCCTGTTACAATTTGGATCTGGAACCCCCAGCAAAGGCCCATGTGTTAAAGGGTTGGTCTCCAGCTGGTGGCAGTTTCTGGAAGATAGTGGAAACTTCAGGAGGTAGGACCTAGCTGGAAGACATAAGTCAGTGTGGGGAAGGGTATTTTTGAAGGACATATTTTTGTTCCAAGACCCTCCTCTGCTCTAAGGAGCAATTTTTCTCCACTAGGTGCTCCCAGTCATGATGTTCTGCCTCACTCCAAGCCCACAGTGATGGAGCCAAATGATCATGGTTTACCTCTGAAACAATGAACAAAACAAATCTTTCCTCCTTTAAGTTGTTTTTCTCATGTACTTTGTCATAGTGACTCACACAGCCTGTTATTAACTTCCTCAATCAACAAATTACAAAAATAATAAATATTTCATAATTGTCTTCAATTTCTCTCTCAAACTGATTCAATTTCTCAAAACTATATATTAAGGGCTAATATCCAAACTTAACATACTGAAAATCTCTGTACTTGTAACTTGTGAGGTCTAAGAAATAAAAGAACAGGATTGGGACTGGGCTTGTGGCTCAGTGGCAGAGCGCTGGGTTCAATCCTCAGCACCACATAAAAATAAATTAAATAAATAAAATAAAGGCACTGTGTCCAACTACAACTAAAAAAATATTTTTAAAAAAAGAAGAGGATTTATGTTCCCTTCTTCTCTACAATTGGCCTATTAAGGGGCTTCTAATGAAAATGGCTAATCACAGGCCCTAAGGCAACACATTCCAGCTGATCTTCTTTTGACACAGCAAGATAAGTAAATATGGAGTTCTTTGGAACAATGTATTTCTCCCCTTACTGATCTTAATTGGACTTTCATCCCTCCAGAAAAGCAGAAATCACCGTTTCTATACATGGCACACACCCCCCCCAAAAAAAAAGAAACGGCAAAACACTGCCAAGAATTCATAATAAAGAACAACGCATGATACTTCTGTAAGATGCATTACCTCATGTAAACTGAATATTTCTCAGTCATACTGAGAAGAAAACCGCTAGTATGCGACTAACGTGATGGGGAAGGGTAGTGAAATCTCGAATATATTTTGTAAAACCAGAGCTAAATGTTCATACACATTGTCTTAACCCCATGTACAACACCCTAAAAAGTATTCCTTCTAAAATTACAAAATCTAAAAGGGCACCGAGTTCCCTTAGTTTGCGTAGAGAGTTTGAACCCTGCTTCATCTTTCTTAACTCAAAAACCACAGCAATGACACATCAGAGGCTCTTCTCATCCCTCTTATCCCCCCAAGGGAAGCTAGGCAAGGAGTTGAGCTTAAACCAAATACACCCAGGCACGCTTTCAAACAAAAACAAAAACCGGTCAGCTCCCAACTCACCTGAACTGTACACAGTAGCAAGGATTAACATAGATGCCTTCTACTTCCGCGTCAGGAATCCTGAACTGGACCGAGGAGAGGAAGTGGAGAAGACTAACTTCCTGCTTTGGGCCGCGCGCATATGTGACGTCATCGGCCTTGCGCCCCGACGGCCGTGCTTTAGTCCTCAGTAGCCCGACTTGAAGAGCCCTGCAGAGGGCGGTAAGAGACCTTTGTGAGTGCCGGGATTGGCGAGACTGGGCCGGTTTTGAGGGCGTGACAGGGCGGAAGCTACCCACCGGCCAGCCTGTTTCTCTATCAATGAACCAATTCTGTTTTATCTTCCGCTTAGATTTCTCATATTTGTTGTCACTTTGAATTAACTTTGTTTTGTTGGTTTTTAGGATGAAGATTTATCTTTGCGAATGGAGTCACTAACAATCAGTTTATCTAGTAAGTGAAACTACTTACTGCTTTTCTCCAGGTTTAAAAAAAATTGATACTGAAAAAATTAGAAATGACTCCTGTGTGCATTTGTAAAGTCTACTTCTGCGTGGAAGTGATTCCTATGTCTGCATTAACGTTTACCATTACATAAAAATATATAAATTTAGGTATATAAATTGCTTTACAATCATAATGTAAAACAAAATCTATTTTAGGAATCATTAAGTTCCATACTTAAAGAAGGCTATGGAGCCACAGTCTTCTCATTTTACAGATGGGAACATTGAAACCCTTTAGAAGCCAGCAAGAGAATGTATGCTTTGGGGATGGGGCTGTAGCTCAGTGGCAAAGAGCTTGTTTAGCATGTTTGAGGCCTAAGATTCAATCCCCAGGACCACACAGAGATGGGGGATGTCTTCTGTGTTTTATACCACATGCCCTCTTGCACTGACAGATTATAAAACATTTCTTCAGATCAGGTAACAGGTATAAGTTTGTTTTTGTGATCTCTTGTGCATAAAGGAAATTGGTTCTTCTGAAAATAAGTTTCATATTCCATCCAAATTTTTCTGAGTTCAGATATGCTATAATTACATATTATAAAATATTGAAATAACAATAAAAGTGAGTAATGGCTGGGTTAAGATGGTATGTTATTAATTGGGATTTTTCTTCTATTTCTGCAATGATTTTTTGAAATGTGCTCATTACTTCTAGTAAGAGCAGTGACTAATACCTTTCTGTTATTTATGGAGCATTACAAAAGAAATGTATATACCTGGGGCTGGGGATGTGGCTCAAGCGGTAGCACGCTCGCCTGGCGTGCATGCGGCCCGGGTTCGATCCTCAGCACCACATACCAACAAAGATGTTGTGTCCGCGGAGAACTAAAAAATAAATAAATAAATATTTTAAAAAATTCTCTCTCTCCTCTCTCACTCTCTTTAAAAAAAAAAAAAAAGAAATGTATATACCTTGCCTGTATTTTATTCATTTATTCAATGAACATTTATCAAGCACCTGCATTCTAAGGCCCTGTTTCCAGGCTTACAAGCCTTTATATATAGTGGAAAACAAAACAAAGTTCCTGCCCTTCTGGACCTTAGCTTCTCAGACTGAGTGTCTTGTTCCTCTACTTGCTTCTCCCATCTGCCTTCCAATAGTTGACTCAAGTCTCTACTAAAGTAATGAAATTAAGAAAAAGAAAGTGTGATTGAAATATGGAAACATTTGAGGGCTGGGGGAAAGACCAAAGGCAAAGAGTAAAAGATGAAGGAACAAAGAGGAAAACAGGATGAAACAAACTCATAGGAACATGGTGAAAAAGAGTTTTTCCTATAGACTGTTCTAAAGTCTTCATCTTTCTGAGTGTTTTATGAAGGCTAAAACAATTCTAATTTTAATTTCAAATTTATATTATCATATTACATCTCCCTTACAAATATTTTTCTTTTCTGAAACAGTGGTATTTTTATATGGTATTTATTTTTTATTTTATTGTAGCAGTAGATGGATAGAACGCCTTTATTTTATTTGTTTATTTTTATGTGGTGCTGAGGATAGAACCCAGTGCCTCATGCATGCTAGGCAAGTGATCTGCCACTGAGCCCCAGCCCCAGCCCTGGTATTTGTTTTTTAAATGATCTTTCTTGGGAAAAAAAAAAAAAGGTCAGTATCAGCAATACCACCACCACCACCTTTCTAATACAAAAAATGGTCACAGAGGAAAGGCTGTGGTCACAGACTCTGGAGCTCACCATCCCCAAAATGGATTTAGAAATCAGGAGCTAGGCCAAAAGTCAAGTTCACATGCAGAATCTGTGCTGTAGTCTAAATTGTCTCCTGCCATGTTACAACTAAAGACTGTTCTGTTGTGTCCAATGTGCCTGCCTGTCTTGCTCTGCCACAGAGGTTCACAGATCCTCATTTGACCACTCATGTTTGAATCTCAGCAGACCCAATTAAGGTCAGAAAGGAAGTCACCCTCCACTGCCCAAGCTGTTGATATTACACACTGATGGGACTCCTGGATTCAATAAAAAATGTATCCCCTACCTCCTCATCAACTTCATCTGTCAGCTTCCTACAGTCTCACTTGAATGCCCTCAGAGGAATGTCTTATATCTATGCAGGACCTACTCTCTTCTCTTGCCTGTGGCTGTTTTTATACACATGAAAACAAATGAAAAATCTACAAGGTGGTCAAGGTTGATTAAAGCAGTAGGTAAAAGTTGCCCTGAGATTTTTTAAAGTAGTTAACACTATTTATTTTCAAACAAACAAAAAAAGATAGCTCAAAACTGCCTTCCTTTTCAAAACAGTTGCTTTTTAACAACCTTACATTTCTAATGATTTTACTTCCTGCAAATTTCTTTCTCTGAAAGACTTGCTGAGTCAGCTTTCCTACTCCCACACTCACTACCTCAAGTGTCTATGGCAAAGAACTGGATACTTAGCCTGGCAAACTTGCTGATTCTGGACCAATATGATCCTGGCTTCCCATGGAAGTTGGATTGCCAATATCATCAGGACAGAATTGTCCAGAAGAAACAGAATAATCTTTTGAGATCCCATTCAGTCTCAAGTTTAAATACCTTTGGAACTGTTTTATTCTACCACGCTGTTAATCACCCAGAAGTGATTCTTAATCATTGGTAGAAAAAATTATCTCACTAGAGAGCTGGGAATTCCCCAAATATTCAAAAAAATTAAATAAAATCTTTCTTGTCCAGAATCATCCTTCTTCCTTTAAAGATTTATTCCTTATTATCTATACTGTGGTGATTTCAAATTGCAAATATATTTGAAAGGGGAAATGTATTAAGCCAATGTTGGGCAAAATTTTTATACAAAGGGCTACATAATAAATATTTTAAAATTTGAAGGTCTATGTTGCATATTTTTTCTTTCTTTCTTTTTAAACAATGCTTTCAAAATGTAAACACCATTCTTAGCTTGAGGGTGGCCTACCCATGAGCCATAGTCTGCCAACATCTGCACTAAACTATAAGGAGCTACACTCATGTAACTGTAGCTTAGTGTGTTGACCACTGTATTATAGGCATCCAAAGAATAGGAATCTTAAGAGAAAGAACATAAAAGAGGAAAATATTTAATAATATTTGAAAACATTCATCCAACACTATCTGCCAGGTACTATTCTTATTACTTCACTTATTAACTATTTAATTCTATGATGGAAGTATTAGTATCTCCATTTTACAGATGAAGAAACTGAAATAAAGACTAAGTACTTAAGCTCACACAGGTAATAGAATTAGAAATAGAGCTTCAGAAGTTGGGCTCCAGAGTCTATGATCATAATTGTAACTGTATGCCTATGCCTATACTCAGGGAGAAATAACATTTTAATTCATTTTTTAAAATACAAATAAGTTTTTTAAAAGTATCAAAATATTCACCCACAATTCTATCACCTTGAAATAACAACTATTTACATTTTAATATTATTTTGGTTTATATTATTCCAGAATATTTCTGAGTATAATTCTTCTCCTTAGTCCACTCTATTAGGTAGGTATCATAGTTTTACAAATGGGAAAACCGAGGCCTAGATGGATTAAGTAACTTTATCAAGGTCATAAAGCTAATATGTATGTGGAACCAGGATTTGAACCCAGGCTGTTCTTCTAGAACATGTGCTCTTACCCTCTGGTAAGAGCATTTCAATTTTTACTTACTTGCTGCAATCTTGTTAACTTCCTGTTTATTTTATTTGATTGTGGTGCTGGGCATCAGACCCAGGGCCTCTCACATGCAAGACGAGTGCTCTACCACTGACCTATATCCCCAGCCCTGCCCCTGGGTTTATAAAGAGCAGTCACTCATATCTTCTACCAGTACTTTCATTACTTTTTTTCTTCCCACATTTTTAATTGGTGCATTATAGTTGTACATAATGATGAGATTTGTTGTTACATATTCCTGTATGCACAAAATATGACAATAGAATTTGAGCAATATCACTGCATAACACTTCCTTCCCACCCCTGGTCCTTTTCCTCTACTGATCTTCCTTTGATTTTCATTAGATCCTTCCCCCCCACCACACCACCTTTCTTTTTCTTTTTCCTCACTATCTTCCACATATGAGAGAAAACATAAAACCCTTCACCTGAATTTAGAATATTTCATTTAACGTAATGGTCTAAAGTTCTGTTCATTTTTCTGTAAATGACAGAATGTCATTTTTCTTTATGGGTGAATAAACTCCATTGTGTATGTATAACATTTTCTTTATCTGTTAATCTGTAGATGTACACCTAGGTTGGTTCCATAGTTTGGCTATTGTGAATTGTGCTGCTGTAAACATGAGTAGCACTATAATATGTTGATTTTAGGACAAATAATGAGGAGTGGTATAGCAAGTCATATGGTGATTCTATGCCTAGTACTTTGAGAAACTTCCATACTGATCTCCATAGTTGTTGTAATAATCTAGAATCCCACCAGTAGTGTAAAAATATTCATTTTTCTCCATTTCCTCCTCAGCATTTATTATTTGCATTCTTGATGAGTCCCCTTCTGACTGGTGTGAGAAGAAATCTCAGTGTAGTTTTTATTTGCATTTCCCTAACTGTTAATGATGCTGAATATTTTTCATATATTTGTTGGACATTTGGATTTCTTCTTTTGAGAAGTGTGTGTGTTGAATTTGCCCATTTATTAATTGGGATTTTTATA